AGCGTCTATACATAACGCGACAAAGTTAGCGCGAACTGCTCGTTGCTTCTCGGCCTGGCAATAAAGACCTCAATGTCTCGAAAGTCGAAAGCTGTTTTTCCTGTCCGTCCTCTTTGTCTGACTCCTTCGTATATTTTTGAATCTATTATCAAAGCGCTCAATCCAAGTCTAGAACATCCGCTTTATTTATAAGTCATGGTCACACTTTATGTGTCACACTGAAGCTCTGTCTTGGACGCTCCTAACCTTACAGTGCGTAGGAGTTTAACATTCTGTGTCTTCAATAGACCTCTGCATCGCTTATCACCCGGGCGAAAAATGCTGAGTCACTGAGCTGTGGACGCATGCGCAGGGTCCGATATAGACGCTTTACACACGCGCCAGATTGAGCCGCCATGGCCGCCCTTCTCTTGTCTTACCGAGATGCCGAGCCACTGAAGCGGGCGTTGACGGGTCTTCACAACGGCCTATGCTGGGCACAAGAACACAGTAGCATCTAAAATGGCAATAACCTGTCCTGCTGTGGTAATGACGAAGTGAAGCGAACGGAATAAGAGGGAACAAAAACTGAAGGTCAGTTATGGCGGCGCCCATGCACAGCTGCTGTAAAGCGTCTATAGCGCACCGCAGATCAACAACGCATGCTCAGAAGGCGTCCCACCGCCCAGCAGACAGAGATGGCAGCGCGCAGAAGGCGATTTTTGCAAAGGTCTTATCTTATCATCTTATGTTATCTTATGTTCAAAGTTGGCTGGGTCACATTGGGAACACCAGCAAATGAAAAAGATATGTTTCGTTTCACCTAAGCCATAGCGCAGTTTAATACTAGAAAACACACAAACAGACGCACAGACTAAAAGCGCAAAGCCTCACGGAAAGACAGAGAACACCGTGACATTGCGTATTTGGTGCTGCTTGTTTGGTGATGAAAGCGTACGCACATGTGCCTTTCTCAGCTGTCTGTCAACTCATCGGAATTACACGCCGATGCTGTTCGAATTATGTGCAAATGGTGCGCTAGTGGAAAAAAAAAAAAGTTGCGGGCAGATTGAAAAGAGAAACGTTTATTTCACTGTAGCAAACGATACAAACATCAAGGCCACGAATAAGTGTTGATATGTACAAATTACCGCGAATAATTGCCAGTTTAAAAATTATTCCCCCCCCCCCCCTCAAAAAAAAAAAAAAGTGAGCCTTTTTTTTTTTTTTGGGGGGGGGGGGGGGGGGGGGGGGTGACTCTTAGAGTGGGTAAAAAAGACAGCGGGAGAGCGACCGCGGAGTCTCGTGTCTAAAATATCGTAAGGGTGCAGGCGAGCTGGTGAATATTAACCATGTTGGATTAACCTGAGACGGGTAGAGAAGAAACATCAAAGCGTAGAAGGGGCAGAAAATAGGCGGGTTAATTCAACTCATGATACACAAACTCATCTCTGTTACGTCACGCCGCGGTGGTGGCGCGTCGGACGCACTTCCGGTCCGGGGCTGTGGGCGGAAATGCCCATGTGAGACGTGTATTCCTGCGTTGTTTTGAAAGGAACCAGACAAAAACCCGCCTTCTCGTCAAAATGCTGCGACTGGAGCTGTACCAAAAGTGTCGAGAAAGATTTGAAGGTCAGTTTTCATGCGCTCAGCTCGTCCGAGAATGTGGATATGTGCCGTGAAAACGGAAAACCAGACGCCGTCGGACCACGATTGCTTGGGCGGGAAGCATTTTGGGTTGAATCCACGGATACTTCTGGTCATCAAATTTATTTGTTTTGTTCCAAAATGAGCCCCGGAAAGTCGTCAAGTTGCACGGACCAGCTGCGGACTACATTCAGTGCGTCTTCAAGTTCAAACGGCCGCCTGATCGTTCGAACTGTCGTCTGCTCTTTCAAACGTTTCTGCTTGTCGTCTGCTCTCTTAGACGACGCCGGTCCGTAGACCGAACGTGGGCCCGGTACTTGCGATAAGAAGTAAGTGCAGGCCTCAAAAGACTTAAGTTTGAAGGTTGGTAAGCAGGCTGGGGACGTAAACAGTAGATACAAGGAGATGTTGATCATTGTTACCAGTGGCCATCACCGACTTGCTATGCCTGATTCACTTGGTTAGATTCTGCTTGCGATTTTTAGTATCGACGTCGACATCTCAGCTACGGTTCACGCTTTTGCAGTCCGAGGGACGTCGCTAACGAAAATTGCGAGCGAAATCTCATAATAGCGAGTTTTAGTAGACCGTGTTTCCCGCTCCGCTTAGCCCCTCCGCTACCCGGTACTCTACAGCCAAGGCCATCGGCGCGCAGGCGCAGTGGCGGTTTCTTCGTAGCGGAGGGCTGGTGGAGCGGGAAACACGGTTTACTAAAACTCCCTAATGTGAATCAGGCTTTAGCGTACATTCTGCGGCGTCCACGCGGAATGAATCGCCGCATGTCAGATGATTCACTCGAAGTTTTCTGGTGTAACGAGCCTCGGTAATTTCGCTGACGCCGCTCAAGTAGTCAGACATCGTTAGGAGGACGTAGAATCAACGATTTCAACGCCAAAAAGAGCGCGGGGACTCACACCAACGCCGACAACATCGCATTTCAATGGTTTGTTTATGGGCGACGGCGAGCTTCTTGCCCACACCCCCATCGCGCATGCGCGGCGCCGGTGGCGTCCGCTAGGGGCGCTCCGGGCGCTCCGGTTTGTTTGTAAACATGAGTTGGCGTATACATTAATGCAACAACTGCACGGAGCACTGGTTGGAGATAGAAATTATACACAAAGACAGAAATGATGTAAAGAGACTGAGCGGATAAACTCTCTACGCAACTGTATAAGTCAGGCTTCGCTACGCTACAGTTCGGAAGCAATTCAAAAAGCTTCCTAAAAATATAATGTCATTCCCTCTTTTTTTTTTTTTTTTATTAAGTGCGACCTGCATTGTTTGAAGTGCGACCCCGATTTGGATTGTTTTAATTTTATATATATATATATATATTTTTTTTTACATGTGTTGGCTCCAAAAACCGTTTCGGTTTATTTTATTTATTTATTTATATATTCATACTGCTCGCCCTTTTCAAGGCTTTGGCTTCTCTTGTTGTTGTTGTTGTTGTTGTTTTGCAGTAGGTGAAGACGGCGTTTTTTTAATCAAAAGTGGGAACTGTGTTTAGAATAGAAGGGGAAGAGATTCTTTTGTTCAGGTTTGAAGGTGGATGGATGTTGCTTTATTGCGTCGACCTGCAAGGTTGTCCCCATTCTTGCATTGTAAGATGGAGACTATGGCGCTTGAATCGTCCTTTTGTGTTGGTGGAGGTGACCTTGAGATTGAGGCTATATAAGGAGGTGGACTAAATAAACCAGTTAGCTGAGTTTGAGACGTCGTCCTGTCTATTTTCTGTATCTCATACGTTTTGATGTTTCTTCTCTACTGCAGTCTTAGGTTAATCCAACATGGTTCGCATCTAAACTTCGCGCCCAATATCTTTCACTTATTTAGTAAAAAAAAAAATTAAGGTTTGTTTAAAGGCCCATTTACGCTCTTGTTCGATCGGACGACGAAGCCGTCTCGGATCCGACGCCCGACCACGCAATACGACGGTCGGAGGCGAGGGTTTTCACCGCTCTCCAATGCTAGGAAAACCCTCGCCCCCCAAGGTCATTCCGGCAGTCTGCACATCAAATCAAAAAATTTCGCGTTTTTTTTTTTTTTTTTTTGCGTACGCATTTATTTGCTTTTGAACTTTTGTCGGTTGGAATCATATATCCCTCCGCCACATCCGCATCCAATAGTGTCCCATCGTTTCCGTGACGTCGCCGCCAACGCGCAATGAGGGTCTTGCCTTTTTGTACATATTTGCTTTATCTTTCCACTTTGACTTAGCATTGTGAAAGCCACGAGAGGGAGATTAGAGTTTTCCCTCTCCGATGGAAAAAAATACGACTTTCGGGGATTAGCAATTCCCCCTCCGATGAATACAAAGGCTGCTTTCAGGGGCTCGGTTCCCCCTCCAATGAATACAAAGGCCGCTTTCTTAAAAAGTGGGATCGGAGACACGTTGGAATCCATTGAAGCGGAACAAGGAGCGTTTCCAGTGAACTTTTCTTTCGACTACGGAGAGATTTGAAACGGGCGCATCACGCTTGTGGGAGGAGCTTCTCCTACCGTCTTGACTTGTAACCGACGTGGGAGTGGTCGCAGGGAAGTTGCAGATGCTCTCAAGGCAAAGACTTGAAACTCCAAACTCATTAAAACAAAAATATGCACACACTCGCACAAAGGTTTTCTAACGCGGAAGTCAATTAGTGTAACGCTTCGAAAAGAAACGGCGAGGTCCACGTCTCTGTAAAGTACCTTGTTGCTTCGAGATTGTTCAAAACGACCTCGCATAACGTCGTTCGCGAGTCCTCAGGGATGGTTAGGGTAGGCAGGACGCGGTTTGCTCCATAGTGAGAAGTGGCGTAAATAATAACAATTAAAAAAAAAAAAGACAAAAACTGTGGGCCCGTCCGGGATTTGAACCCGGGACCTCTCGCACCCAAAGCGAGAATCATACCCCTAGACCAACGGGCCAGACACGCTTAGAGGAATTAAAGCTAGATAATGAATGAATCACAATGATTTCTTTCATTGTGAGTTTGAATTTAGTTTGGTGCACATTTTATGAACAGACTTGTCATTCTGATTTGTTTAGAAAGCCTATCACATTGCCGCACTATTGTTCCAATGCCTCAGTATGCCTTCATTCCTTGGTGACCCTTTCAGATCAAAAAGTGTCGCTCCACTGATCTCTATGACGTCACTCCCATCCTCACTAAGCAACCCAACGCTTTCAACAACCCTTTGGCTTTGCTGCACTTTTCCGGATTCCAAAGTAAAATCAGTAAAAAAGTTTCGGCAAACTTACAACGTCTAGCGTTGAGCCGTGTTGTCACATGACGCCTTAGAGTAACTCGGATCCACTCGAGGCCTTTTTTTCCTCCTCATTCCGGGAAACTCTTCTCGAAACTACTCGAAACAAACAAACGCACTTGAAAATGGCGGCCTCCATCGCCCTCTTTTGGCTGGCAATCTGTCGCCTGAATCACGGTGGCCTCAGTCTCTAATCATTTTGTTTCATCAGGCCGATATCAAGGTGTCGCAGCATGGTTCGTGGAATATTGATACAGCTTTCCTTACCATAGCTAAAAAACGTAAAGCATATTATTTAGTTCTGAGGACGGTAAGAAAGCCTTGGTCGTTGATCGGTTAATCAACACTTCCGAACGCAATCACTCGCTGGCGCGCTGATGTGGCTTTCAAATGACCAAAGGCCAGCCTACTGTGTGAGTCAATCACATGCGATTCAAGCGAGTAACAGGCCAGCGTACTGTGCGAGTCAATCACACGTGATTCGGTCAACTTAACGCCGTAATGATGTGGTGGTCCGATTTTTGCTCACTCGCTAGGATTCAGCAATTAACCTGTGCCCGCCTCTCATTAGTATTGTACGCTTTTACTCTTTTCGCTCACACGACCTGTGCAGGCTAGCCGCGAGCGGCTCCAGCAGTGGCTCAACAAGAGCATGAAGATAGAGATGAGCGACGGCAGGACCCTGATCGGCACGTTTCTCTGCACAGACAGGGATCAAAATGTCATCCTCGGGTCGTGCTCGGAGTTCCTCAAGCCCGAAGGTGCGTACAGATGCGGACGTGCAATTTGATAGAAGAGAGCACACCGTCTTGGACTGAAACCTGGGTTCAATGGACCTTTTGGCGAATATGTGCTGCCACCTAGACACGCGACTGGGCTCGAGACTAATTGGTTAGAAAAAAATGCGCGCGCAAGGCCTCTCCCACCAGTTCGACACCCAAAATGTCGGCCACATCCTGTTCTCCCACTGAGCCGCTGTGACCTAGATACGGCTCCCCCAAACTCGCCTTTGTCCCCATGTGGCTTATCTTCTGCCCTGAAATCAACACACAGAAACCATCTTCCCACTCTGCTCAGCCAAAAGAAAGAGAGAGAGTGTACTAGAATTATTTACTCTCGAACCAATGTTTCTACAAAAGATCCATTCCCGCCTCTGCTCATTTCGATATGGACGAGCATGCTTGCACGGCATCACAGAGGTTAACAAATGTGCCGTAGTAGCCTAATTTCTTCTCTGCAGCACTGAAGTTGTGTTGTCTAATTAAGAGCAGATCTACCTTGCGCTGTATAAACATCCCCAACGTCCAGATTTCTTTTGCACTTGCAACTCAAGTCCTGACTAACCGTTATAGAAGGTGTCCCCCCAAAAATGTAATTGTTTCTTTACTGCAAAAAAAAAAAAAAAAAGGAAGAAAACTATGCATTGCCAAATGCTCATTCTCTGCCCAAATGGCCAGAAATTGAGTGTTCAGCGATTCATAGTTTATTTTTGCTGTAAAAAAACAAAAAAACACTGATTTTTTTTATTTGTTTACCCGCGTTGGTAAAAGATTAGATGAACACTCTTCAACAAACCTTATTGTTGTCGTCAGCGGGAGTGCAGCAACACCGGCTGTGCAACATGCAGCTGACTTTTGGTGCTAACAATGCTGATGACGTCCAGAGTGTGCTCTTGTTTAGTCATTGTCACCGTTTTGGAAAAGCTTAATTGGACCTTCATTTCGACAGAAAACGGTACCACAGTGGAGCCAAGGATTCTAGGACTTGCCATGGTTCCAGGACAGCACATCATGTCTATCCACATCGACGACACCAGCCAGGGCTACTGCGACAGCAAGGGGCCACTGTGACACCGTTCCAACTGAAGAGAGGGCAATTTGTTGTACATCGAGGCATGAGAATGCTCAATCCACACAGTGGACTTAAATTATGTAATAAACATTGTTCATCATACAAGGAAGACGCTGTCCTCGTCGTAGAAGAGTGAAGTAGCAGATTGTGTACCATGTGAAGCTACAGAGCCAGAGAAGATAATTATTGTGAAATCTTTCTAGGACTTCCACATGGTGTGATATAATGCGCTGTCACCAAGACTTGCTGCTCCAAGAGTTAATGGCCCCGTCTGGACTGGATCACAACACATTGCACAATGACATGTTCAAACACCCCTTTGTTTATGCTTTTTTGCATCATAAAACTCTGAAATCTCCTAAAGTTTTTGATGGCACAGATTTATTGACAATACTTAAAATTGATAGCTTCATCTTATTTCTGTCGTAGTGATTTCTTTTTCAATTCATTTTCGTTTTTGATTTATTTAATTACATTTTATATCTGTCGATCGTGGTGTGCTGCACAAGTGTGTTTGAACTTGGTGTTTTCAAGTATTTAGATTTTGCTGTCTCCTCTTTGTAAAATGCAATGTTCTCTCATTAGTGGTTGCACTGTTGGTGCAATTGCCTACAACATGGGTTGGTAAAAGCTAGAAGAGAACAAGGAATTTCGTCTGCACCATTCAGAGTGTCGTCAGGACCTCATTTTAGTGTGAAATATATCTGGACAAAAAAATGCTGTGAATCTTTTAACCTACAGCTGACATGCATGTACTACAGCTAACAATCCACTTTCAAAATGAGAACCCACCAGCTCTCATTCCCCCCCCTTACCAATGTAAAACTGATTATGCTTTAAACGTTAGGTCATTGAGGCCCTAAGCACGCCACAAATCGATTGTCTATAAACCGATAAACCACACCCGAGAGGTTACCTTTTGTGAAATTGGATGTTGGAAACACAACCTTTCTAATTACATTTGCATATCCTTCAACAGGTGGCATCCTGTCTCAAGTGAGAGAACCTGTGACATCCTTTGCTAAGCTGATTGGCTTGGCAGTGTTATTTTGCAAAAGAATTAGCAAAAGTATATAGCAGAAAAATGAACTAGAAAGTGTTACACTTGTCTGTTTGCAAACTGGTTTTCATCATGCATGCCATGATGAAAAAGTTCAACATGAAATAATAAATTAAATGGCACTCTCAAGTATTGACAGCATTATTTATCATGAAGTGCTGTCGGATCTAAGGGACAGTGCCTCATCTTACAAGTATTGGTAGTGTGGAAATCAAAACTCACGGCCAGTAACACCATAAGGAGGTGTATGCACACTAGATTCTATAAATGCTAACCAACCAGTACAAAAAGATGCAATTACAGATCATCTATGCATGGCCGACACATTGTGAAAAGGAGCCGAGGAACTTTTGAACTCTAATGTCACCGCAGATGGGTGCACTACTTCATGCCCAAAACTAGGTATCAATCTGCGCTGAATAGTGATGAATGGTGCGCCACTGCGCCAAAGCGCTTACCCTGCTTCATCCTGCTACATTTTACCAAAATGTGAGGAACTTTCTATGGGGGGGGGGGGGGGGGGGGGTAAAACTTTATTTCACTTTAATAATACTGCAAATAGAATAGCTCAGGCCTCACAACCTGGCCGGATTGTTATGATTAGGCTTGTGCAAGTTTTCAAAACTTTCAATTACCGCCTCAAATAACATACTATTCGATTTGATTTTGCATAAACCACTTGCAGTACTAGGAAGTTCCGCAACAATTTTCATCTTCTCTTCCGGTGGGCTAGTTTCGTTGAGTGCACTCCTCACCGCACACTGGTGTAGAGCAGTGAAACGACAACTGCAAAGTAAGCATAGTGATTTGAGAGTCTTGCTTCGCTGCAGCACACCCACATACTAAGGGGAAAATATTCCTCCAAAGCGAGACATGAAAATTTAAAAAAAAAATGCTGGCTTGTTTATGCGATATCCTGCCAGTATCTTTTTTAGATTTGAGACTTTTTAGATTTGAGAAGTGTACTTTGGTATTGTAAGGATTATATGGACTCTCTTGTAGGTTCATGTTTAATGCCAACTCTTTTGTTTAGTGATCACTTCTTTATGGGTGCAAGTAAATTAGACCTAAATTAGCAGTAGAGGATAAAAACTTGGGTAAACCTGAATGTGTTTGGCCGGATTGTTTCTAAGACATATTAATCGTTCACAAGCCAATTTTTGTTGAATGTTCTCCATATAAAATGTAACTGATGTTTTATAATCAAATGACAAGAGCTTTATTTTATTGGAATTAAGAATTGTAGTTTTATTACAACCTCTAGAACTTGAAGGAAACAGATTTAGGAGCCCAAAATTGTTGTATCATAACACAATTTCAGTGAGATTCCATACCTAAAATATCCATTCACCAGTTTGCACTTCTACACACAACTAAACAGCTAGTTCTGTGTTTGGCAAGATCACTCCTGCTGTGCAATCAAAGTTAACAAAAGGTTGCACATAAGCGAGAAGGCAAAGTAGACATTTCCTTCTAGTTGGACATGAATCAACATATTTGCGGTGGTATAATTGAAAATGAAATGCGCAATCATGCTCCAAGTTTTTTGCTACTCAAGAATAACAAACCACATCACTGTGAATACCTGCTGCACATGCCTCCAAAGAAACATCTTTCCACATGGACTAAAGCCACCAAACTGATGGCACCAATTCATTCTAGAGGGTGACACTACAGTGAAAGATACGAATTGGCGAGATCAGTTTTTTCGTATTAAAGTTACAATTAAAGTTTGGAAGCACCTCAGAGATGCAGCTACTTGTATAGAACAGGACATAGTATCAGGGTACTTTGATAGCACTGCATCATGGTCCACACCGAGGGGCAGCTCCAGTGATCCAGTTGACTTTCCTCCCCGAAAAGACCTCGGTCTGTTGGCCCGGGTAAGGCTTGACCTTGAAGTTAATTGGGCACTGTTCACGAGCAAGAGCGGAATCAACAGATGTCGGCTTCTGTCGATAGGTTGAGTGACCTCTTAGTGTAAACAAATCAATGAAGGTTTCCCAGTGTACCAAAACTTCCAAGCTCTGCCAGGGCAACAAATCATGTTTGGTACAGCTGCCATAACCGGCTCACTATACTTCGTTTCAGCTTCGGTCCAGACGCCGCCAAAGCTACAAGCGCGAGCTCCGGGCTTTCAGCATCCCTGCCAAGCACGCGCGCTGGTGCAGTGCAAGCACTGTTCTGGGCCACATGCTCGCGCTTGTAGCACCGGCTGCGTCTGGACCGAAGCTGAAACGAAGTATAGGGGATAAATAACCTCACATTTGGCCCAAATACCATAAACAAAGCTCTGAAATTTTTTTTTTTTGAGTGACCATAATTTACAAGCTGTTTAGAGCTCTCGCATAAATGCATTACACAATTTCTCTTTTCTCATGACACCCGCCAATTGGGATGCTCCTCACCCATTCTAGCAGGTGCTATGGAAAATGGTACTCAGTGAATCTGACCCCTGGTAGTCGATGCAGCGAAGGGAGGAAGGAAGGGGAGACAGAGCTTTTGAGAGGGTTTTTGCCTTTTTATTCCAATGGATGGGCGAGAGGCGGGAGTGAGGAAGGAAGGTCTAGTCATTGTCCTCTTCGTCTTCCTCCTCCTCGTTGTTGATCTGGAAGTAGCGCAGCTCAAAGGCGTCCTTGGTTGTGGCCACGACCCGCAGCCAGTCCCGCAGGTTGTTTTTCTTTAGGTACTTCTTCGTTAGGTACTTCAGGTACCTGCACACAGCGAACAAGTTTGCTGAGGAACAGATCTATGTTGCATTGTTTCAGGTCATTTTTGGGAGCAGAGAGCTTCACAGTTGCCCACACGCAAGCTGACAGTTGTAATCTCAAGGATTTTCGTACTCCAAGCGACGGGCGAACCAATTCCGTCGACCCGCAAAGCAAACTGCCATCAACTGCGAGAACAGAAATCTGGATATGGTTCAAGTTTAACCCGATTTCAGAAACCTCAGTGATTACATATTGACAATGTCAAAGTACCGTTGCCATCACGGATAGCTGCGACCTACCGAGCAACATTTATTTTGGGGTCTCCTATAGAATGGTGACCACGAACTACATCCGTTCCTCACAGCTCCTCAAAGTAGCGAGATTTAGAAAAGAGAATGCGCAAACCGCACCGCGCTTTATTTATACACTTATGTCAGCTTTCGAGGTCTGTGCAAGATCGTAAAGGCCCACACATGCACTTGCGCTCGCTTAGGACCGAAATTTTTGCAATCTCTTTGATGAGACAACATGCTGTCCCCATCTATGAGGTGTCGTCTCATTCTTCCTGGAAGCTCCCGAGACGGCTAAAAGCAATTTTTGTTTATGACCAAATAGCAGGGCACATTTGGTGGCCACTTCTTTGGTCATTAAATGAATACTTTTCAAAGCCAAGAATCTATGAGGTGACCCTGGAACTGCACCTCACTAGAGCAAAGGTTGTGCAGCATTCGCGAGATCAAATGTAAATACCTACTATCCACGAGATACGGTCGTTGATGACACTGTCAAAAGCTTTTCCAGATAAAAAAAGAAAAAAAATCTACATAGTAGTTGCGAGTGCTTTACAGCTACCCAATAGATGGAGCCAGTGTGTGCTCTCATCGTAAAAGATTTGAAAAGGTTTTAAGGAACACAATCGTAAGCAGTTGCAAGTGTGTGAAACCAGCCTAAAGGGGCACTGAAGTTGTTTCTGAGATCGTCCTTTTGCGGTGACAACTCAATCTGGACGCTCTAAGCATCCCAACAAACCTGAAACCCCAACCGCGCATAGCTTATTTTCTCAGTGAAAGCGTGTTCAAAGATCGCGACACGCCCTTTTTGGGAAGAATTTTCTTCCGAGTGAAGTGGTCGACGAAGGGAGCTTGCCGGCGAGCTGCGAGTGATGGCTTCGCCCGCGGAGAAAAAGAGGGGTCTTATCCGAATGTGTACCAATCAGACTCTCTTCAAAACGAGTTATAACGAAATCATTCGGAATCTACGTATTGTAGGGCTTTCATTGGCCCACACAATGTAGCCCGTGAGAAAAAAGAGCCCACATGTTTTTCTCTTGCCCCGAGGTGAGTAGGCAGTTTTGTAACATAGGACTTAGTATATGCAGGAACTAACACATTTTAAACAATACAAGATCAAAAACTACCTTTTTAGGAAATGACTTTAATGCTCCTTTAAGTCTCATTTTGAAGCAAAAAATGATTTTAAGGGCAGTGATCAGCCAGATGATGAGGTGAGTGGCAAACAAGCTTGAGGTTCCTCGAAAAGTGTACAAAACCTCCGTACATGCGACCGGTGCCGACCAATCGAACACATCCCTTTCTTGCAAAGCAGTGCATTGCCTGCTACGGATGAGCGGTTTTCCCCCAGCGTTTCAAGACTCTTTAATCCACGCCCAAGGTTTTGAGACTTGTTACAGTCCTACAAACTTCACGCTGCAATGATCTTCAAAAGCCCGATTCCCAAATTTTTAAAGAGGGCCTAAGGAGGGAACACAATACTGCAACTATGCTTTTTTGTTTTTTATCTTCCGAAGGAGCGATATGTACAGTCAACTGCTGGTCTGCTCTCGAGCGCGCACTCGGTGGGCTTAATCATTGGTCTTCCTTGCACTGGATTCTGTCGTCAGGTGAGTTTGCTGCCTCAAGTGGACTGGCCTCTTTGCAGTGCGGTTGCCCACTACGTAGCCCACTATTGAGACTGTTTGCTGCGCCCGAATTTATGACATCGTGCAACTCTTCCTCGAGAGGCATCAGGGTAGCGAGAGCCATGGCGCAATGAAGTGATGGCTACGAAGGTACACAACTGACGTTGTCTGTGACGACAGTATGACTGACTAAAAAAACTTGCCAAAGTCCGGGTTGTCCTGGCAACAAGCCGAGTGCATTAGATATGACTGCGTGGTTCCACCAGTCAATGCGAGGATCTTTTTTTTGTTAATTACAGACAGTGGTCCCGGTTTCGAAACATGCTCCTCCCATCGCCCGAGATGGACTCTGTGTTCTTGCGATCTTTGATTGCTTCTTTAATAGGGAAATATGCCGCGTAACGTTATGATTTAGGCATTCCTAGGATGCTTAGAGCCAGCAGAGTAAGTTATTGCCATATTTAGGCAATCTGAGAAACCTCCCAAGGCCCCTTTACTTCTAGTCCCGTTACTACAAGCCCTCAAAGTGGAACCTGAAGCCTCTTCACGAGATAGCACAGGAGAGATTTTCTGTGACCTGCGCCAACCACTATTTTAGGAAACATCTCTGAAGAGCAAAACAAACAAACAAAAGAACATCAGGATTTCACTTAGGAGCAAAGAACTACAATTATATTGAATGCAACAGTAAGGGCAGTGTCTCTTCTTGCACCTGCATGGTTAATAATTAGGAGGGAGGAGGACCCTTTCTACCAACTGCTTGCAAACACTGCTAATGCCATTAACACACTGCTCTTAATGCATTAGTGCATTTAGCCAATCATACTTTTATATGAACTGCAGATGAAATTGAGAGTGACTCATGGTCATCTACAAGATCAGCTAATGAACAAACAGCAACAACATTTAAACACCCTTCCCCCCCAGCCCAGCCCAAAATGTCAGCTGTACTGGGGCACCGAATGAGACGCTTCACACGCGAGCTGTATGGTAATCAAGTGTGCACCAGACCCTTTTCGAAACTGTATTAATGCTGACAGCCACCATTTATTAACAACCAATTCCAGCACATAAGTGGACAATTGCCAAAAGTCAATTGTGCTTGTTTGTGCAGCACTGATGTCCAATACATTTCAAGAGTGCATGAGTGCAAGAGTCAGTTGTTTTTGGATGGCACATACCAACATTCAAATTGTTATAGGAGGGGCAATATAGAAGAGATGGAAACCAAAAGGCGACGTAGAAGTGATGTCACCAGTGCCACATGCAACACAGCACGTGTCGACAAGTCTCGGTATAGACATAACCACGCCGACACTAACAACTCGATGACCTACACACGAATACTTTGTCCGAGGTGACCGAAACCGAAACAGGCTACAAGATTTTTCAGAGGGTCTGCTGGGTGCCGTAAACAAATTATAAAATGGCAAATAATAAAAAAAAAAAACTGCCCACGATTTTAGATGGTGAGAGTTCATGAGGTCGGACCACAATTTTCCAAAAAGTGGGTACCATGGAACATTCAATACCAAATGGTAGTATAATGTATGCAAGTAGCCAGGAATTTTATCACAAGGGGAGAGGTGAGACACCATGTTGCCGTACAGTCTTTGCATATATAACAGAGCGTAAGCACAGCATTGGGATTTCATTACTCTGTGCACATGTTTTGTACAGGTGTGGCATCTACAGACTCGCTGATCTAGTCGGTGCCCCAGGACGAGCACATTCCCAATCACCTGTTGCTTCGATTACAACTTTCTGGATGCAAGAGGAAAAACCCAAGTTCTGGAGACCTAACCTTTTGGAGAAGGGGACCTCGGCCGTGACGTAGACCTTGTTCTTGTCCTTGTCCACCACAATGACTCCAGACAGGTTGTTGGTCTTGCCGTTGAACTTTATCCTCTCCTTGAGGTAGTGCTCCTGGGAAAGAGCCATGCCAGCGCATGCAGCATCAGCCCCAAGCCCAACTCCCATTACCCCCGGCGTGCCAAGTAGTGTGAAAGATACTGGAACATGATGGGAGGGCATGATCATGCAACTACCATATTTACCGGACTATATATGTCTAGAAGTTTAAATTTTATGCGGTGCACGCTATACAAGGATATAGTTATTCAAGATGAGAGATGAACGGTTTTTATAAGTGATGCAGAATCTGTTAACTATGATTGATGTATGGCACAAGCTTCCTTGTGAGCTAGTAAGGCAGGCATTGGCCAAGGTGTGCTGTGTCTCAGCATGTTTTTATGCAGACTACAGACCGGAAAAGATGTTAAATCTGTCAATCTATGTGTGGGTTGCACATGTCAAGGCACAGGCCCATTATACAGCCCGCTTGGCAGAAACTATACTCCATTTTATACTTAGCGTACAAAGCTGTCAAAGATGCTAGCTCGAGCCCGTGTCTGGATTCAGCTTTTAATTTGCACGCACTCGCGTGAAAATTCGATTCGTGGTGAAGCCACGCACTTGACAGCGCTGCATACTACGTAGGCAACAGCGTATACCTCGCCATTAGTTGCTCTATCGCACAAGCAGTCAAGTCGTCTGGTCTTCAATGACTCTGAGCGCACAACATAGTCAACGTCAGTGCGACGGCAGAGCTGTAGTCTTCACTAGGAGCACAAACAGACCCTGTAAATATACAGGTCCACAGGACGATGAACGCTTTCGGTGTAAGAGATGAAAAAGAAAACAAAAAAGTGTCACGGATTAGAAAGAGCAAACATGCAGGCACTCCGGCGGCGTGGTACTCACAAATTCGGCCACTTTCATGATCCCATCCTCGACGGGATGTGTGCAGTCGATCGTGAACTTGGTCTGCACCTTCTTTTTCTTCCCCTTGGACTTCTGCCCTGCCTTGACGGCCCTCTTCACTTTTGGCGGCGCCTGCGACCGCCAAACACGAGACACTTCAGACACGAACACTAGCAACTTGTCGTGATTGCAGTCTCCATTGCACTCAGTCCGACATCTGCCATGCCACGGGACCATTTCGCCGCAACAGCAAACCGTCAATCGCATTTCTAACCGAGCGATCATATTCCGTACTTATGTTACTTTAAACCCAGCACACGACCGGCATATTTTCGTTGAAAACTTGCTAGATTTTGCGTGCTGAACAACTAATCTATGCATAAGCAAGACACTGTTAGACCCGCTGTTAGGCTTAGGCACCTCCAACGTGGTCGCCGTGACCAGCCGGCATGCGAGTTTAATGGTACGCAAAGTGCGACTATGGGCCCGCGTGAACGCTACACGGATGGTTAAAACTAATACCAAGATGAACAATATTAGGCCATAAACGCGAAATTGTGAACAAAAAACGTGACAAGACGGAGCACGATTTTACTCACAACAGCCATTTCTACAGGTGAGGCTTGCGAAAGGGACGATGGGAGGGGAACGGAGGCGACATCTGCTTGTCTGCTTGTAGTGCTTGTATGCTTGTAGCTCCTCAAAAAGCTCCTAAAAAACCTAAATTAAATTTTTTACGTTAAAGCATTCGTAGTAAAACCATATTTACCAAAAAATTAAAAATAAACTAATATATTGACTTAAAAATCATAAAATAGTTTTATTTTTAAAGCGGGCAGTGGTAGAGTTGACCAACTTCTGTTGATGCAAACTTGCATAAACTGAACACACTCTCGCCCACCGTTTGGCATCAATTGAATAAAGCGCCGCCGTTTTCAAACGCTGCGGCGTTTTTTAAGACTAATATTATGAAGATGTGCCGCAACGTTCCGAAAGGGTGGCGCTACGGTAAATACGAACGAGGCGGGCTCGTCATTGATATCAGTGGCTTCGTCCGTCTTGTAGTGCCAGCAGCGCTCCGCGCTCGAATTGTTCGGCGGCGAATGATATTAAAGGGGCGTCAGCAACACGCCTACCGACATTAGATGGAACGCGTGTAATGGTGGAAAATCCGATCACAGCTGAACCCTGGCCAGGACCGGCATGTGTTGCGTGAGGGCCAAGTGCGATCAGCGTAAACTCTGATAGGTAAGTGAGCCCATTAACCCCGCGACACCGAGCTCTCGCACAACCTGCTCAAAGAGGAGCTCACGTTGCCCGGCGGTGTGACCGACCGCTGCAAACTAGTCTTAACGACGTCCCGACTAGTAGAGACCGAGCGTTGCCTTGGACAAGTCCCGGTTTTCCCACGAGCACCGTAGAACTCTAGTTTGGAAAGATATTTTGCGAAGCGTCGACGGAAACAAAGGAAATTCACGCTGAATTTGATGGGAACCGCTACTCGAGCGAGTTGGGGAGGAAAGGACAGCGTCGGCCATGGCTTCCTAATCGATATCGTTCTTGCGACTAGCTCGGACCGCCTCTTCAACTTTGACAGAGAAATAAAAGCTAATGCGCGCCGGGGACCCAGAAGTTTCACTCGTTAAATTTTTCCATGCTGGATTCGGTGGGGAATAATAAAAAATAATATCGATTGGCGTTTTCAGTTCTGCTGCTGCCTCCTTCACGTGAACATGACTGCGGCGCGCCGGCTCGCTCCAGTAAAATTCCGTCATTTTGATTTGGAAGTCGTCCTTCGAACCCCGAACCCTTCAAACTTTTCTTCGATTGTTTTGTACGTTGTTCGGGAATTTTTGTCTGGAAGTTCGGGGCGAAGATGTGTGGTCGACCTGGGTACTACGGCGGCGGGGTGGCTCTTTGGGGGCGTTTCTGGTCACGTTGCTCGACAAGGGGTGGATCTCTGCCGGCGTCGCCGCCGTGCTGACCGACTTCGCCCTCAGTGTCCCAAGTAGAGAATGTCTTAAAAAAAAAAAAAAAAAAGATTTTTTTTTTTTCTTAGGACGTTTAGCTGTCGCAGTAATTCGGCGGCAGTGAACATGCTAACATTTTTTTTTTTTTTCTCTGTCCGGTGCCTTGATAAAAGTAGCGTCAAATTTTGGGGAGCCAAGACAAAAAGAAAAGTCGGTCATACCGCGGCACGAGCTTAAGTTTTGGTCTGAAGCATCGCTTAGGTAGTGGATCTGTCAATGCTAGTATGAAAATTCAAGAGTTGGGTTCGATGGATTAAGCGATGAACAAAGAATACACACCAGCTGAGGCATGGTTCAGACTGAGCTTTTGGAGAGATGAGCTACCAGCTGCATTCAGGCTACTCTGCCTGACCGTTGTAGTGGGTCCTCCTATGTGACACGAATAGTGTTTTGAAATGAAGGAGCGTTGCAAACGCTGCTAGTCTGCTTAGGTGCTTGGCATAGAGGCTACACCTTTTTCATCTGCTTGTAAACGAGCATTCACTCCAATAGCAGAAATCTGCACACAGTGGGGTGCAAAGGGGACCGCTGCTTATCCGTTTTCTAATCTCTGCTTGAACGTGCGAAATTATCGTTGCTCAAAGTAGTGTTTTCCTAGCTACTCGTGGAGAAGATTGATGCTTCAAGACGTGCAGTCACAACAGTGACTCAACGGATTGTACACGGAAACCGATGGCAGTGACATGACAGCTTCGCGGCCTCTCCTATGAATCTAACACTCTCATATAGCATGCACTAGTAAGAGGTTCAGATTCGGCCCCAAGAGCACTTTTGTTGCATGCAACGAGAAACATTGTAAAGTAAAGGAAGGAGTTGCTTTGCCCCTGCATTTGTGCAAGTTACTATGAGTGTGTTGGCATCTGCTGGACATTTTACTTTTCTCTTCCAGACAGCAGGAAGCGGGCAGAGCTGGGACGATGATTGGGGGACTGTTCATCTACAACCACAAGGGGGAGGTGCTCATCTCCAGGGTTTACCGGGATGACATAGGGTGTGTGTTGCTTCCTTCCTAGGGTGCTTTTTTTTTTTTTAACTTTGCTTATGTGGTCACATTATCAAATATTAGACACAACTATGCTGGTAGGACCTCTCTCACGTGTCCATAACTTTTTTTAATCTTTATATGAAGCATGAATAAGCTTAATTTGATGGTGTGCCCCGCCTGCAATAATTAGGTGGCCATGTTAGAAAATGTTTGTGGCGTCATGTACCAGCACACCCTTGCCTTGTTGCCCCCTCCACTTCTTTTCTTGCTGGAAACTGATGCACAGGAAGGCAATGCAGTACTCCTTGGTCGCAAAAAGGGAACCAGAAGGACCATAGGAAGCACACCACATGGGGTTGCCTCAGTTCTGTCATAGTCACATGGTCGCTAGAAAAATTAAATTTAAGTTCTGCAATAATTACAGCTTCAAAATATAGCAAAGCTTGTACATTCGGGTAACCTTTAAAAAAAAATGTAAAAAGTTTATAAAAAATGTTTGCATCGGACACTTCTTATTCTCCCATTATCGTTGCATTGATTAAAACTTCAGTTGCACATTAATGCTAGCTAGTCTCGTCTACTCCCTCTACTTGCCCTCCTCCTTTGTGCCATTTGTGTCGTAAACGTCTGCCCATCGGTGCACTTTTATGCACCCTCGGAGCAGAGTTGTGATGGCATCGTTTGGGGGCATAGCTAACGGCACATTCTTCCACGCAGGCGCAATGCGGTGGACGCGTTCCGGGTGAATGTGATCCATGCCCGACAGCAGGTGCGCAGTCCCGTGACCAACATAGCGCGGACATCCTTCTTCCACATCAAGCGGGCCAACATCTGGCTGGCGGCAGTGACCCGGCAGAATGTCAACGCCGCCATGGTCTTTGAGTTCCTGCTCAAGATGTGTGAGGTGATGCAGTCCTACTTCGGCAAGATCAGCGAGGAGAACGTCAAGAACAACTTTGTGCTCATCTACGAGCTGCTGGACGAGATCCTGGACTTCGGTTACCCGCAGAACACGGACACAGGCATTCTCAAGACCTTTATCACCCAGCAGGGGGTCAAGTCTCAAACCAAGGAAGAGCAGAGCCAAATCACCTCACAGGTGCGTGTGCAAGGGTGGCCCGCTGTTAACTTCGGCCTTCCCCACGTTTCTGCTGCTTAGCGTGATGCGATGTTGGCATGCCCAGCGTCCGAGCGCAGGTCACATTTTTACATTTGACCAGGAACTTTTCCACATTCTTTCATCATGCCTGCGATGGATTTAGGAAGCCAGATTTGTGCTCATTTTTTCATCTCTAGTGTGTCTAACAAGCATCTTTCTCCTTGCCGAGCAGGTGACGGGTCAGATCGGCTGGAGGCGCGAGGGCATCAAGTATCGCCGCAACGAGCTGTTTCTAGATGTCCTGGAGTATGTAAACCTTCTTATGTCTCCCCAAGGTGAGGAACTTGCTGCTCACACTGGAGTGCCCTTTTGGAGATCACTTGCAGAGCCACTTTAAAGTTGAGGCATTTTCTGTTGACGTTCAAATTTTGCCGGTGCTTTGTCCCATATGTTTGGTTAGGCGACGCTGTTTTTTTTAGTGCTTGTTTCTAAGAATTCCAATTGTGAAAAGACTTTTATTACCAGCCTCGATGGATGGTGACATTGGGATGTATTTGTTGAGGTTGATAACCTCGTTATGGGGTCTCAAGGGACCGTGAAACAATTTTTCCATTTGGCTGACTATAGTCCGTTGCAACCTAAGGGCGAGGGTAAGACGGGCTGGGGAGGAGGAAGCAGGCAAAACGCTGAAGAGAGGTTTCCCCCTCTTCTCCAGCGTTCCGTCTGCTTCCTCCTCCCCGGCCCCTCTTACCTTCGCCCTTCGTTCTTAGGTTGCAACAGACTATAGTGCTCTCGGTAAATTATTTGTGTATTTTTAAAGCATGGAGCAGGAATCGGTTTCTGTTTACATCTGATGGTTCTTGCTAAGAGGCTCGTATTGCTTTCTCTCGCCTCGCTTTCTGCCCAATGTTGTCCCGACTATGTCATTGTGCAGAAGAGAAGGTTGTCATTCCAGGCTTCCATTTCACAGTTCCTTAACTCTGCCAATAGAGCACATGTGAGCTCATTGGAAAAGGTACAGAATGCTTACAGTGTCCTGTCATCTCCGGCAGGTCAAGTGCTGAGCGCACACGTGGCCGGGAAGGTAGTAATGAAGTCTTACCTCTCGGGCATGCCCGAATGTAAATTTGGCATCAACGACAAGATCACCATGGAAAGCAAGGGCAAGAGTAGCACCATGGACGACCCCACCCGAAGGCAAGTCCCGTGCAACCTCTTGTCACCCTATCCATACAGAGTGCATCGCAGCCGGTGCCAGCTAGAGCCACTGGAGCGCTGCACTCCGTTCCTTGGTTGTCTTGTGGGTGCCGCCATTTTGTTGTCTAGTGCAGGCAGGTGCAGTTGGCCATTGTGACAATTTGAAAATGAGACTTCTTCAGCTTTAGATGCGGTGTCGGGAAACTCGGGTTATATAGTCTTGCTCCGGTGCAAACTGTTTTAATGTTTTGGGAGGACAGGATAAGTTTCCTTTATTTCAGATGAAGCTTCAGATAGCTGTAAATGATTTTTAAGCAGAAGGGTGGCTGAAGCAGTGTTGCTTTGAAGCCTAGCTCATCTAGTGAATCTAGTGCAAACGAGCTGTTGCCAATTTTGTGCTGTTCCTTTAACCACTGCAAGGCTGTAACCGAATCTACTGCTTTAGTGGAGTGCGCTTCTGTGGAGTGCTAACCTAGGCACTAAAGCATCGGTTTGACACCGTCGCGCTCGAGCAAAAGCACCAATGTGTTGGTGCTATCCGTCGCAATGCGTCGTATTTCTGGGGAGGAGCTTTCTTTTGGTCAGCCTTCAAATCCCGGGTTGAGCAGTTTGGTTTTTAGTCTCTCGGGGAGTTCCAAGCAGTGGTTATAGCTCAAGAACCGAAGTAAAGCAAGTTCGGCTCTTTGCAGAGAATTACTAATTTCCCCCTTTATGTGGATAATTAAAATATATGTAGGTGAAATTTGGATTAGATATGCGTTGTCTTGTCAAGACGTGCACGTTCCAAATGCCAAAAGTATCTTTTTTTTTTCCAACAACCAAATCTCATAAGAACTACTTTGTGCCGCATATGAACAATGCGCAAAACTTGCTTCTCTTGAGGTTAAAAAGAGTATAATTCCCAAGTTGCAATCGAGCCTCAATAACTAACTTGGTTAGGAATAACCTGAGACTTGGTCCAGTGCCAGTTACTTCACACAATTGTATTGACAAGCACACTTTTGCGTCAACTTGTTCTCAGCACTGGCACCACACATTGTCACGGCGTCAAACTGCCACGAGTCGCGTGTTAAATTGAAGTGAATTTAGTGTCAACATTTGTTTTATGCCACTGGATGCCACACCCTTGGTCAGCAATCTCCGCACGCCTCAGTACTGTTGGGTATTTCAATAGCATGGGTGGAACCTAATTTTGTTACTTTTTGGGATTAACATGAACCGTTTGTCAATTAATTTGCTAAGTGCAACCATACCGAACTTCAATGTAACTAAACTGACTACTGTTCAAGATTAACTTACACAGGCTTGACTAGCTATTTTTTTGTGAACTAAACATTGGTATTTGTGCCAACAATATTATCTAACTTATCTTTCAGCACGGGCAAGACATCGATAGCGATTGACGACTGCCAGTTCCACCAGTGTGTCAAGCTGAGCAAGTTTGAAAGCGAGCATAGCATTAGCTTCATTCCACCCGACGGAGAATTCGAACTCATGAGGTATGTGGCGGCAACACTGGTAGTCTTTGCGCTGTTGACGAAACTCAATTGCCGAGCGGGCTTACACACTGCCTGTGTGGGTAGACCTACCAAAAGTTGGTCTGGAGGTTTGACCTAGACCCACTCTGAGACCGAGTAGCTTGAAGTAAGCTCTTTTGTGGAATTTGACTGAGGTGCTGAAATAAGGTGGGCTGTGATAGAGTCCCTCATTGTTTGCCAGGACATGCTGTAAAATACTGAGCTAGCACCCATGGCACTGCAACTTCCAGTGGTATAGCCAAGGAAGGGGCCTCTTTAAACAATCCTCAAAAAAAAAAAAAAATTTCCTGGTTATGCCACTGGCGAGTGCCTATTGTTTTTCATAAGCATCAGAATTGGCTGGGGTTTGTGAAGCTTTTACAAGTTTAGCTTGCGAGTGTACCCATCCCCAAATATTTCCGTAATCATTTCTCGTCTGGATAGGTGCCCATTCAATATTTTTGTAGCACGGCCAGTAGTTTTTCCACTTTGATGCTATTTAAAACTGTAAAGCGTGAAAGTTTCAGCATTTTGCACGAGCGTAGCAGGTGAGGGCAGGTGAACAAGGGACAGCTGTAGCAGTGAGTTGTGGTGCCGCCCAGGTACCGCATCACCAAGGACATCAGCTTCCCCTTCCGGATCATTCCCTTGGTTCGGGAGGTTGGGCGCACCAAAATGGAGGTGAAGGTGGTCCTCAAGTCCAACTTCAAGCCTTCCCTCATTGGACAAAAGATAGAGGTAGCGTCTGCCATTCTTGGCGCAAGTTGTGTCTCTAACTACGGTACAGCTGGAAGGGGCGTGTGCATGACAGGATAGAACGCGGAAGAGTTGCAGCAAACACTGGAGCCGGTGTACAATGATATTTGTGCATGGCTTTGGGAACTTGCACCCTGGTAGTTGTACCTGTGTGACTGGAAGTTGTTCTTCACTGGGCTTTTTTCTGATCCTAGGTGCGCATTCCGACGCCCCTGAACACGAGCGGGGTGCAGCTCATCTGCATGAAGGGCAAGGCCAAGTACAAGGCCAGCGAAAACGCCATTGTCTGGAAGTGAGTGGCCGACAACTATGCATATTGTTCCCTTTTGCTACGCTCTTGAACCAAGTCGTGGGGAATTGTTATATTAGGGTTCTGTTATACTAAGCTCTAGTTTAAAAAAGTAGTCAAGATGTACACGGGGGAGGAGGAGGAATGCAGGCAAGCTGGTGTGATCCTTCAATCATTTACTGGGGCTAGGGTAATCTGGGGGGGGTACATTACAAAAGATGTACACAATGTGTCAGACCTGGCAACATACTGCAGATGCCTGCATACAAGACACTGTCCTGGCTTGGAAGGTTGGGAGCATGATGTACACACTGAAGGTCATGTTTTTTTGTTTTTTTAAGGGGGGATATGGGCCTAAATTTTAAATTTATTCAATAAATTTATTTTTCAAATTATGTTTTTCGGTTTTAGAAACTAATAACCCTTACACTAAATTTGATAATCATATGCCAAATAGTTTATTTAAAATATTTTCAATGCATTGTGAGGCAGTAACAAAGTAAAGGAGTTCCATGTTTGAATAAATTTTTCTCAGTTCCACTTTTTGCTGCAAATTTCATACTACGAAGAAATCTTTAGTTTGTAGGTGAGTGCCCTGACACTACAGTCGAGATGTTTCTGAACTGAAATCTACATTGGAATTGGGCTATCTACTTTATTTTGTTGTGAGTTGAAGTCCTCATTGAAAAAAAACTTTTCAAAAATTGACATAGGACAGAGGCATCCCCTATTTTGAGGTAATGACCCCTCCTAAAATATTTACATGCGAGTTCTAACAACTTGATAGCCCAAAGTTCTACATCCGCCACTATACCGGGTGTTCATTTTTAATTCGAACAGATTTATTTAAAAAAAAGCTGTGAAAGTTGCACTTATGCTGCTAGTGGAGGTGAGTTATACGGCCAGGGGGACATATTAAGGGGGCTAATCGTAACAATCAGTTGGCTAATTAACTAAAATTTGATAATTAACTTCTTAATTAATGAAAATAGACATATGGTTCCAATTAGAAACTTGCTCAGCGTCATCGAAAAGCACTAAATCGGTCATTTTCAGAAAGACTGGGCGCGTGAGAAGCGTAGTAGTGCGCTAAAGTTGCCGCTCGTGGAGCAGGTACAAAGCTAGCGGTTGCGGTAAGGCGCCCCGCGATTTTTCAGTCTCTTAACAAGCCCCAGCCTTGTACCTGCTTCATGAGCGGTAACTTTAGCGCACTACTACGCTTCTCACGCGCTCAGTCTTTCTGAAAATGACCAATTTAGTGGTTTTCGGTGACGCTGTGCAAGTTTCTAACTGAAACCATATGTCTATTTTCATTAAATAAAAAGTTAATTATCAAATTTTAGTTAATTAGCCAACTGATTGTTACGATTAGCCCCCTTAATATGTCCCCTTGGCCGTATAACTCACTTGCACAAACTGCATCAGTGCATCTTTTACGGATTTTTAAAATAAATCTGTTCAAATTAAAAATGAACACCCAGTATATTCAAGTAGTCAAAATAGTGCTGAATAGGTTCATTTGCATATCATAGATTTAACAAAGAATGAGACATCTTCTAATGCAGGTATGTAAAATTTTCCTAGGGAGCTGAAAGTTTGCACAATACACCTACATCTTATGTTAAATTTCCCCTGCAGATTTCATTTTGATTACTTAAGTAGTTCAGGAGTTAAATCTCTAGCCAGTGTTCGCTTCTTAACCAATTTTGCCTGGAGGTGTCTTGCCTATGGGTGCACGAGCACGCTTGTCCGTAAGCCAGTGGGCTGTACCCTCAGGAGATGTTCTGTTTGGTACAGGATCAAGCGTATGGCAGGCATGAAGGAGACTCAGCTGAGTGCCGAAATCGAGCTGCTCCAGACGGATGCCAAGAAGAAATGGAACCGACCCCCGATTTCCATGAACTTTGAGGTGGGTCGTTGTATCCGGAGTGCGACCACATTCGATCGACTAATTGGTCGCCAGTGCTGCCAGGGATGTAACGAAGTCTTGTTTTGATTTTGGCCGTGAGAATTCTTAATGTGGAGCCTTTGAATGTTCAGTCCTCCTTTAATTAGAGCTCGACGGACCTGGCACTGGCATGCAAACCCTTCTGTAGGCGATGGAATGTTTCTGAAATTGGGGAAACCGATTTTTACTGTCGTAAAAAGCCCCTTAAAGTTTGGAGAGTGAAATATACAGGGTGTTTGATTTTATTTCTAACAGATTTATTAAAAACTGAGCTGTGAAAGGTACACTAATGCAGTCTGTGCTGGTGAGTACACATATTACGGGTGACTTGTTAATGAACTTTAATGAGTTAAAATAAACGATTCTAATAAAAAAAACTTCCCGTGTGGCACCTGAAACCACTAAATCAGTTGGTTTCACCAGGACTTGAAGCACGTGGGGAGTGCAAGGGTGCACTAAAGTTGCCACTCGTGGAACAGGTGGTGGGAATAAGAGTAATATTAGTTTCATTCACGTTTTCGCACCCCTTGCGTTGAGGTTACTGCAAGAGGGGTAAATTTAGCGCCTTTCCTTGTTTCACACGTTCTTCTAATCTTTGAAAAAAAATTGGGATTTGGTGGTTTTTTGATGCTTAGCAAGTTCCTCATGCAAACCACGTTTTCACTAGTTAAGATGTAATTAAATATTTGTTCATTATGCCACTTGCCGTGAGGATTTACCCCCCTAATATTACATCCTTTAGGGCCTTATAGTTCATTTATACAGTTTGTGCTATTGTACTTTTTATGGCGTTCCTTTAATTGATGAATCTGTTCAAATAAAGAAATCAAATGCCCTGTGTACCTTGTAAAAGTTGTCGTATCTAGTTTCTAGTAGGTTTTGCAACTATCCATAACATTTTTTCCTTCAGGCTCCTTTCTCGTTTTGACACGGATGCCCTCAAACTCGGCCAGCATGCAAGATTATTTTAGAACATACTTTTTTTTTTTTTGCCACATTTTGCGTCAATGTTGGTTGCCGTGTTTCTGGTGTTGCAAGGACTTGATTCTGTAGTCAGTGGCAGGTTTTGAGCCCAGGAGATGGTCTGCCTCAGATGGCGCTTGTTAACACGTGCAGCCGAAGCCCGCCGGAAGGCAATGAGTGCGTGCTGGAGGCAGGCCATCTACTGCCCATTGTCAAGTATGGGCATGCACCGGCTTCCTCCGCTTGACCCAGCATCCGCGACATTGTTGCAGGTTCCCTTTGCTCCCTCTGGGCTCAAGGTGCGCTACCTCAAGGTGTTTGAGTCCAAGCTGAACTACAGCGACCACGACGTCATCAAATGGGTTCGCTACATCGGCCGAAGTGGCCTCTACGAGACTCGCTGCTAGCCTCCCCACCGTCGGAGCTCCCCTTCCTTCTCCCCCTCCTCCCCCCACTGTCCACTGGCTAACTCTGTCGAGCATTCTCCAAAGTCCAATCCGGTGCACCCACCGATAGTTTGACTGTCGGCGAGGTCTTGCCAGGGTGGCGACTGTGCACCAACCGCTTCCCCGCGGGCTCGTTAATTTATTCGCCCCGTCTGGACCCTTCCTTCGCCCCTTTCGACTTGCAGACTGGTCGGCTTATTTGGGCGTTTGCTCGTGTCTTTCCATTCTAACCTACGTCGGCTGCCAGTCTATTTCTTTCCTTGTTTTTCTTTGAGCTGCTCCTGTGATTTCCTGGCCTGTCTTTCTCTTATTCGAGGCCTTATTTTTTTTCTTTTGTGTGGCTCTCTTTTTTTTCTCTATGTTTAAATCTCCTGTTGAAGACTCGAAAGACCACACCCGTTGGGACATGCGCCATATTCTCCGGGGAGGCCCTTGCTGTTCATTATTCGTCTGCTAGTGGTGTACCCTCCAGTATCGAGACGAAATAAAAAAAAAAAAGGGGTAGTCTGCACTTAGACCGGGCGGGGCTGCGACATCGAACCGTTGGTGCGCAGCGTCTCCCGGCAGTGCGACTGCCACTGCAGCCACGTTGTGACGAGTGCTTTGGTGTTGTCCCACAAGCATGAGAAGTTTCACAGGCATTATGGCACGTCGAGTGCGCGAAATAAAAGTGTATGTTAACATTGTTTGTGGCGTGCCATGTCCTGCCTCCCACACATTTGGTGAAACTGTGTGGTAAAAGAGGTTCGGTGAAAGTGTGATGCAAGCTACTACTAAACGCCTGTGTTGGGAAGTGTTTAAGTAGGCATCTACTGGCCACGCTGCTAGCACCAATACAAACAGCAATACTGATACATAACCAATACAAAATGAAAGTGGCAATATGCCAAATAGTTTGTCAGAATTGTTGACTCTAAAGAAAGTATGCTCTAGATATATTTTGTTTCAGCTTAATCCCAGACTTGGCTGATACTATGAGCTAATAGTAGGACCGATCAAGCAGCAAATCCCAATGTCTTTCCTTTATGATTGGTTCAGCGATGATGGAACACTTGCAGAAACATGAACATCATGATGGTGCTCTTGACTCTGATTGGTCCTATTGGCTCATAACGTTGGCTGTGTCTGGACTTAAGGTGAAACTAAGTAGAGTGGATCAGCAAACGAGTCCTTGGATGTTTGGACTCCAATTTCTGATGCATCTAGATGACAGCATGTGTAGCGGTGGCAGTCTTTGTTGAACAATGTTTCGTCGACACAATGTTTCGTGGGCGGCTTCTTTTTTGCAACATTTTGTCGTGCTCGGGTTAAAACAAAAAGGTTAACCTTTGCAAGAACGAGAGTGTGGCAAATATTACCCTCGCTTCTGGTATACTCCCAGCAAGCGAAGGGAAGACTAATCGAATCTGCCCTAGAGAGTTTGTTGACCCATCATTGCAAAAAAAAGTGGTTCACAAAATGTAATGTTGACAAAGCATGTGTCTATGATCAAGCTAACAAAGTGTAATGGATTTGCAATGAAAGAAGTTGCTCCATTCAAAGTCTTCGTATTGTTGCTCTGAAGAACATCGCGCACTCTGCGACGGAAATCAGTTAAAAAACCAAACCCAATTTACTCGTAAGAGGGACTTCTATGTTGGGAAAGCCAGCTCCAGGAGCCAGACCACTTCCCTTGTTGAGAGCCACTTACGTGAGGAACCATGACCCTAATTGAAACTTCCCACAAAGGAAGAAACATCCCATGTCTCCAAAACCATTCACAACCTTCAGAGAGTCAAAACAACCGAGTTGTAAGCCTAGGCAAGTGACAGACACCGGGTTACATTTTGTCTGCGCTTTCAACAGTAAGTAAAAGCTGAAGAAATGGTGAAGGAAAAACAAGGCCGAGTGGCTCATTGCCAATAAAAGGGTGCCCTTTTGTAGAGATAAGAGGCAAGTTTCGAGGTGCAGATAACCTACAGTACCAGCACTGCACTTGCATTTTTCCTTCAGTACCTTTGGGGCCAATAAAGACACAAACAACTGCTGATAAAAACAAAAATATGCTCGGGGTCGTTTGAACCCGAACCATGCAGCTAAAGCTTGCTTGCTTCGGGATGATGCCCATTCCTGAAATAATTTCGGCAACAAATATCTTCAAAGCCCTATACATTAATCACAAGTAAAAGATGCAAAAAAAAAAAAGTTATTTGGTCTATTATTAATGGTGTGAAGTAATGGGTACAAAAAACTGGAGACTGTTCCGGAAATGCAAGAAAATTTTGGTCACAGACTGCAGTCTTGGACGCTTTTGTTGCCCTGTCAGTTGGATAACAACCTTTTGGCATCTGCTGAGCTTTTGATGAAGACATTACTCCGGCTTGTTTGATGCTTCAACACTGTTTACAAACAAGTCGGCGTTTGCCCACATCAGGTGCGGGCACTCCGCGTGCACGGACACCAGATTCGCGTGAAGGGTCGGTGCATGCACTGCAGAGCCACATATTCTGGCCAGAGGGGATGGCAACATAGACACTAGGGGAGGGAAAGTGAAAGAAAGGGGAAAGAGCACCAAAGGAGCGAGAGAGGAAGGAGAGAGCAAAGAGGAAACGAGCACCATTTTGACGCAACATGCGTTCGGTGCAGAGCACTGTTGAGGCTATGCATCGTCTTTCACACCGCTCACCGCCCTCACGTCCCTCATGCACTCATGGCCCTCGCACCCTTCACGCACTCGTGCCCCTCACGCACTTATGGCCCTTGCACCACTCGGGCCTGCTTCAAATGGGGCAATTTGATGTCGCAACAGCAGCAAGACGGGCCGCCCTTGTTTACATGCAGCAACCAATTGCTGCAATTTGCCATGATCATAAAATTTTATTTTGCTTGCACTATTTGGACACAATTACGTGCTATAAATGCTTTTTTTTTTTTTCCATTTGAATCTTGTTGAGAATACTAATGCATCTTTCTGATAGTTTATTTCCATAAACAATCACTTTCAAACCAGAACCAAATCTTTTGTTGTCATCATCACTGGCACAAGGTATCACGTGACAATATTGTGTCCCCGATTGGATGCAGCCGCTTCAAACGTCTTCAAATTGCTCCGAGTTGCTCGCTTGTTTCGAGCCGGACCCTACCTCAGCCATTCGTGTCGATCAAGGGAAAGATAGAGAACAACCCGCCATCAACACCAAAATTGCTGAGTTGCTCCATCTGAAGGGGGCCTCACGCACTCGCCGCCCCTCATGGCCCTCACAGCACTCCCCGCCCTTACACCTGTCACGCACTCATGGCCCTCACACTCCTCATAGCCCCAATACCCCTCTCACACTTATGGCTCTCATGCCCCTCACAAATTTTCCTAGTTCAGAAACTCACTCACCCTCACCTCACCTGTGAAGATGAGGGTAAGCGAGGGCTCTCATGAGTGAGGTTTGCCGAGGTATGGGCATAACAAGTCAATGATGGCCACCAGTAACAATGATAAACATGCCCTTCTCTCCACTGTTTACACCGAACCTACTTACTCCAAACAGCCTTCAAATTTAGAAATCTTTCGAGGCCTGCACCTACTATCATAATTACTGTGCCAATGTGTGGTTTATGGGCCGCTGTCATTTCCACGTGCAGACAGTTTGAAAAAGCAGATGACAGTTTGAATAGGAAGACACACTGAATGTCGTTTGCGGGTGGTCCGGACAACTTGAACGTTATCCCACGCTCATGTTGCAACAAAATAAATCTGACTACCCAAGCCTCTGTGCATTCAACCCAAAGTGCTTACCGCAGAAGCAATCGCGGTCCGACGGAGTCTGGTTTTCCCTTTCCGCATTGCCAGTCAAATTGGGCAGGCAGAAAAAAAAAATGTGAAAACTGACCTTTGCATCTTTCCTGGCTCTTTTGGTGCAGCCCCAGCCACGGCATTTTGACGAGAAGGCTGGTTTCTTCCGAAACAACACGGCAATGTCTGGCCCGCATGGCGACTTCCGCCCACATGCCAGGCCGGAAGTGCGCCCAAAGAGACACTATTGCAGTGCAACGTGGTAGAGTTGAGTTGGTGCATACCATCTTTTGAGATTTTCATACAACATTGCGAAAGACAAAGACACATCTAAGGTGTTCAGTTTGCAGATGCACAAAAACTAAGAATGTTCAAACCTGAAATGTAGAATTATAGTGGAGTGGAAGCAAATGCAACTAATGGACGAGAGCAAAGTCTGCACAAGGGGGTCGGATGTTTGAAAACACCCTCTGTATAGGGGTCCAGATCTATTGTACTGCAGCCACAGTGGCAACTGTAGCACTATGGACCCACTTCTTGGTCCTGTGCCATAGCCTAGTGCTGTGCTCAGAAAGGAGGCCAGTTTCAACATTGTGCCACAGGCTGGGTTTTTATTGAGAAAGGTGTTAGTCCACTCGCCGCTGGAGTCAACTACCCCGGGGCCACAGTGTCTCTCTCTGGGTGATGAACGCAATGCAATGCAGTCCGGGCATGCGCACACACCACTGCACCGACTGAAGGAGGGGGCGGGGCCTTGCCTTTGTTCGCAAGGACTGGTTCTCTCCTCTTCAGCTCACAATTCCTCTACACTACTGAAACAGAGAACCGCAGTTTTACTTGCTGGCCCCGAGTAGTGCTGCAATCCTGTCCCTCTAGCCACTCTACTTGCACAATCGTGAGGCCAAAGATATGTGGGCTGCACATTTCCACGAAACCGTCGCACTGCTAGCACAATACGACATGTATTTGCGAACCATCCTCGCATTGCTGCTTTTTCGGAGTGCACGCGGGGACTGGAAACTCCATTACTCCGTTTCTCTGCATATTACAGCTGAAGGAATGAAAAGGGCTCTCTCATCCCATGACTTCTTCAAAATGCATCAATGCATACAGGAAAAGGTGTTCTTGTGTGGTTTCACCAAAATGCACTGGTGCACCAGAGGAAAGGTGCTCTGGGGGTTCCTCCACTATGCACCGGTGCATATAAGAAAAGGCCTTGCTGTGTGGTTTCTCCACAATCCACAGGTTCACAGAAAGGCTGTGTTCCAAATCCTACCCCAATGGATCTGTGTTACTTCCCCGGGTCGTGTCACGTGATAACACAGACTGAGAAATGCTGGATGCGAATAGGTTTAGGATGCCAAGGTACAGAACTCTTACCCTGGAGTAAAATCGAGTAAATTTTGAAGCACTGCCAAGGAAAGGTGTTTTCACTGTGTGGCTTCTCCACAATGCACTGGTGCATACAAGAAAAGACTCTCCCATTGAGTGGCTTCTCCACAATGCACCAGTGCATACAAGGAAAGCTACTCATTGTTTGACTTCTCCGCAATACACCGGTGCATACAAGGAAAGGTGCTCCCATTGTGTGGCTGCTCTACAATACAACAGTGCACATAGAGAAAGACAATCATTCGATTGCAGCTCTATAGTACATCAGTGTATGATGAAGCACTTTGCTGAACTAAGCACCATTCACAATTTGGTCCCCTAAAAGGCTAAACACTTCAAAAGGAAACTAAAAGTGTGGCTATCAAGAAAACAGATTATACACCTAATGCCATTCAATTGTGAAGGAAGTATTGTCAAAGGAAACTTGTCCAGGTGAGTGCAATTTCTGGACAGACTACTTAGTGCTCTCACCTCAGCACTAGTAATGATCTCTTGATTTATGTAAGCAATACAATGCGCTTGAAAAAA